TCTGTACAATGTTCTCTACTGTACACATTACTTTTTTTTTTTCCTACAAAAAAGAAAAGCTTTGGATTCCTAGAACACTAACAAGTGTTGTTGTGAAACGTAACACATAGAAAAGGCTCTAAATGTTCTATACATGCAGCAGATTAAGTTATATATTGAAAAAAATGCTACAAAAGGGCCAACTTAACCCTTCAATACAATAGTGTAGTGTCCATTTAGGTGCACGTAAATGATATATTGCTTTGGTGGACGGAGGGAAGTATAAATGAGTGGCACTAATGAAGATATAGTATAGCAAGAGTACATATATATGCTGGATTATTGTATTAGGATTTTCTGGAGTTGGTGTTTCTTCAAAACTTAGAGTATCAAGACTTAAATGTAATATTTATTCGCAATATTACAGTAAACTGTTTAGCAGGGTTGCCTTGCCAGATGGGTTCATGTTCAAAATAGGTTTTCTGGTTTCATTAACTTTATGATGTTTCAGTTGGACGTAGGTTATGTTTTATTGAGATTTTGGTTGTGATATATTTTTTATTACATCCTTTAACCCTTTTGCTAAGGAGCCCTCTAAACTTATAGAAGATTGTTTTTTTTTAAGTAATCATATTTGTTTGTACAATATTTTTATACTCTGAATACATTTTTACTTATCACCTGAATATATATCTGAAATATGACGGATTAATGAAAACTGACCTATATGTAAACTTTAATACAATAAAATGTAATACAATGTTTATCTGTAGAGTTGGATGAGAGGTAACTGGGATTCTCAAGCCTTTTCATATATAAAACACAGCTCGTGTGTTGCGCACAAAAGACTTGAAAGCAGAAACCAAATATAGCCTTATAAGGAATTGGTTAATAGGGGTAATAGGAGTTTGAATACAACCATCTTGAAACACAACCCCCCCCTGCCCAACAACCCCCTCCAAGCTAATTACGAATGTGTAAAATGACTTGATTTCTATAATAATTATAACTTTTTTTAAAATTGTGTAAAAACAAGCATACATTTCTCTTGATAAACCCAATTTACCAAATAAAATACAAGCAATTTTAATATCCGGGAAATATCTAGACTGTCTGATTCAGTTTAATACTAAACCCTATGAACTGGTGAAACCTCAGAAGCAATAACATGGCGGGTAACACTAGCTAACAGTATGAACCTAACTTATAGATTTTTTTTTTTAAACAAAAGTTGTTTAAATATTGTTTATATTTTGTTTGTAGACAAAAAATACATGAATTAAAAAAAAAAAAAAAACCCTAACATTGAAATGCCCAGCCTTCTCTCTTCTCCTTTTCCCAAATGCAGCAAAACACAATAAAATATAGTTCAGAGTTAAGGCACAGCCCTGGGACCAAAGACCTGCAGCTTTAAATTTAGCATATTTTTTTTTTAAGTTTTTTTTTTCTTTAAATTTTCCTAAGAAGCTCTAAGGTGACATTATAATACAGAAGAAAAAAAATGTACAAGGAGTAAATATACAGAATATTCATTCTCTCACCAAGAGTTTCAAGATATAAGAACACCACCCAGTTAAAGATGATGTCATAATAAGAACTGGTATTTTACAATTAACATTATATTATGTACATTACAATAAATACATGGTTGTAAACAGAGACAAACAAGACTGTATTACAGGTAAGGTCATCCGGTGAGGAAAATAATGAATGGCACAAAGGTAATAAAAAATAAATATGTATATAGTTAAAAAAAAAATAAAACAAACACTCAAAACAGCTTTCTGAAAATCCATTTCATTCAAGTTTTTCTTTTTTTTCCCCTTAAAGCAGTTTTTGTACCTTTTTAGCCAATTTTCCCACCAAATCTTTAAAAAGAATGGTGAAACATTATAAAAACAAATAAAAAGCTTTTATTTTGACAACAGTAACTTGCAAGCTAAAGTATACTGTTATGAAACCAAGACATGGCCATGCAGCACCGAATGGGTTGCATTATTCTGGCAAATGACAAATTTGATAAAAAAATAAAATAAAAGACACTTCTTAACCGTGTGGTATATAAAGCCATGTGCAATGTTTCGATACACTTTGGCAAACAGGACAAAAGGGAAGAAAAAAAAGAAAAGAAAAGGATTTTACAGTGCATTAGATTAGATCTACAAAAACAATGTTTTTGATACTCATTGATTGTCCATGAATGATTTTTTAAACGTTTTTTTTCTTCTAATTTTGCATGATGAATGGAGTGACGTGATCTGTATTATGAAACAATTTCCATTAGTGCAGCTGTTAACCCTTTCAGGTCTATCTTTATTTTTGGAAATCATATTGCTTTTTTTTTTTTTTTTCATTGTTTACATTCCAGGCACTCAATGGGCAGGAAAAGAGGGAGGGGTATGAATGATTAGTGTAATAGAGGATCTCAACATGTAAGACAGCACTACTCAAAGCATCTAAGATGTTGCTGGAGGTACAAACTGCAAGAGAGACTTTTCTAAGTTTGAAGGTGAAACACAAGTAAGAGACACTTAAGGCTACGCCAAAGGCCGAAGTCCTTTGTAAAGAACTTTAAAATAGTTGTTTTGTTTTTTTTAGTATTTTTTTGTATACTTTTAGTCAAAAATGTTTTTGGCCATTATTACACACAAACAACATTAGTCTGCATGCAGTAAGATGCATTACTACAGGTTACCGATGATCTTAGGACTAGACACACAATTTTTAGCAGTACAAAAAGCATTGCTAGACAGATTGCTCTTGCAGCACTGATAATTCAAATATATATATATTTTTATTTGTAGCGATATATTAAGTGTGTAGTCGGATGCATACAATTCTGTATATTTTTGGTTTGTAATGATAGGTTAACTGTCAATTAGGTGTTCGAAAGAAGTATGGAGAGGTTGGATGTTAGACCTGTCCATACTATTCTATATTAGACTCTATTAAATGGTGGAATAGAAAAGTGCAGAATGGACCACAGATGGCAACCGTGGAGTTTGTTTTTGGAGCACATTAGAAATGAAAGAATCTTGCCAAGGGCACACCTAAATCCTTTCCGACACAAATGGAATACTTGTAATAATATGTATGTACATATAAAGTGAATGTTAGGGGAAAAAAGTGTTTTTTATATGTGTGTGTGTGTGTGTCAGGGAAACAAAAAAATTAAATAAAAATACACACACAATAAGTCTCTCCAAAATAAACCATTTCCCCCGGTTTTGTCTGTTTAAACAGGCTGTACAGAAATAATTGCATTTTGTACACACAGTAAAATGTTTTGTGTTCACTGAAGGACACAGCGCAGATCAGTAGATCTTCACTGTGTCCTTCAATGAATGAAAGAGAGATACTTGCCGATACTGCCATATATTGAGCTCCTAACATCCTGTAGTGAGCTGACAACGATGCCTTGGTTGCACTGGAACCCCAAGCAGTATTATCAACCCAGCCTGATTTTTCCTCTTCGGTGACAGAGATAGATTCTGTAGTGCAGAAGGGAGAACTCAGGCAGAACTCCAGCACTTCAATACCGTTTGTTATTTCAATGCAGCGAAGGCAGTGTTGTCAGATTACTACTAGAAATGAGGAGTTCTCTGAATCGCAGGCACATCAACAGGTATATGTCCGCACTTGCAGCATTTGTAACGAGACAAAACATTGTGAAATGGGTCTGTATTGCAGAAATGTGCTGCATTTTGTAATTTTTTTCCCCAGACATACACTTTAAATGGACTCTTTCGAGTCCCTTCTTATCTGGATGAGTGAAGACAACAAACCTGTGCGGATAGTGGCCTTCCTTCAACTCCTTGGCTCCTGATAAATGTTCAGCTTTATTGACAGTGACAAGGAACCAGTATGGGCCATTAGTGAGGCCTAAGCTGCTTACAACAGAGGTTATTACCCTGCATGCAGTCATGTAAGGAGAGAAAGGACAGCATCCTTTTCCAATTGGCATGAACTGTTTTTGGATATCTCTTGCAAGCCAGCGGAGTTCAGCCACAGTCAACAAAGGTAATGGCATTCACTATGACATATCTTTGCAAAACATTGAACTTCTGACACATTATCTGCATGGGTGAATCATACAAACAATCCATTGGACAATGTGATCCCTAGTTTGTGGCTGAGAAAAGACTGAGACATTGGTAGTTGTAGAACTGTATGCGCTGAAAAGTTGCCGATGCATTTGTACTGTGCTGCTCAGAACGTTAAAAGAGGTTTAAAAACGAAACTGTACGGAAAGGGTTTCCTGCAAGACAGTGTCCTTAAGAAATATACAGGCATACAAAATAATGAATCTCTACAGTCCGATCAATTGCTATGAAATTCTAAGGTGCAAAAAAATGACCCGGAGACGTCATCCAGTGTAGCACGTTACGTGTACTGAAAACTTGCAAGTTACTCTTTGGAAAAAAAAACAGTGGTGGATGAATGTACCTTTTTTTTTTTTCATTTTTCTGTTTTAAATAGAATACCTCAATATATATTTAATAACAAAAGTAAAAGCTCTACAAAAAAAATCTTTGTATTACATATGATACAAAATGCAGAGGATGTTGCAGCCCAAAGAGCGGCAGAATTTCTAGATTCGTGTTTTCAGTCGTTTTATCAGGAAGACTTAAAATTAGAAAATTTGTGTTAATCTCCACAGCTCAATATCCTGATGCTATACCATCCAAGATGTGTCCCGATAGCAATTTGCCTTTATCTTCTGCTAAACCAGGCCAGCACGTCAGTACTGTGTACTTCTTATTCCTGTTAATGCTTGTTCCTCAATGCACGCAAAGCCACAGGATATTCTTGCCTTTGTCACTGCTCAAGAAACTTTCTGGAGTAGGTGATTATTTTCACTGTCTGCCAATGTTTTCCTGTTAAATTTCCACTGCTGTGGACATGGATTTCGGTTAATATTCCTGAGTGCCAAACTGAGTAAATTAGGTCAGTTTTGATCAACAAACATCCTGGCAGATGAACGTGAGGTGTGAGCATGGTTGAGGCATGTTTCATGCACTTTGGAGACCATTTTCTAAAAAGAAACCAAAAAAAACGAAAACCAAAAAGGGAGATAAGAGAAAGTATTCCACACTGTTACGTGTCGGGGGAATGCTCTCCTTCTAATGCACTAGGTTCTGTCTGGCCTTCCTCCTCTTCCACCTGCTCGTCTAGTGGAATCTCAGCAGATTCAGAGTCCTGTGTACAAAGGGTCTTCGAGTCACTACAGCTGGTGTCTTCTTCTACTTGACTGCCACTGTCCTTTTCTGTGTCCGATTCCCCATCCTCTTCCAGTGTTAGTTCAAACTGGAATTTTTCCGTTTGGCCTTGTCTACCTTCTTCCTGCTCGTCTGGGGCAGGGGACGGACTCTGGGGAATTGTGCTTTGATACCATTCTCGATTGTCCTCTAGTGTGTCCAGTATGTCTTGGGCATCGGGGTGAACAAGATCTGCCCATGTCTCCCACAATGGATGGACAATGTAATCTATGAACCCGACCTGGAACAAAAAAAAGAGTCGGCTAAAAAATGGAATATATAATGCAGAGAAACACAAGCCAAAGTAATAATAATGATGCTGATGAATCTGCTATTAAATATTTTTAGGGTAATAAAATAGTAAAAATATAAAATAGTTCCAATTAGATATTTTGTGAGCAATAATACGATTATCATTCATGATATTATTAATATTATTGATTTGTTTTCTTCTTGCATATTTTATTTATAAGTTGTAATAAAATTGGGTTTATTTAAAAATACCACTTTGCTGGCTAGATGCAGTTTTGTACTTTCTGGCAAAAATTTAGAAGAAACATAATTGATTTGCAAACACCGTGCAAATACAATTTACCATGCAAAAGAACGGAAAAAAACATGTGATGCATTCAATTATTACATTCTCATAAAACCTTAATTGGTTACTAAAAATGTCACACGGTGTATTTAATTTTGTCTTACAAATACAAATTTGCATTCAGGCTTTATTAAAGTGGCGGAACTATCGCCATAGCAACCCAGGCGGCCACAATTGGGGCCCGGCCAAGACTAGGAAAAAAAGGGGTCCCGCTGATACCGTGCAGCCGCCTGGGTGGCTATGGCATTGCAGGCTGCTGTTTGACACAGGTGGCTGTGAGGAGGAATGGACAATCTGTCAGTGATCTGTGCATCGATGTGTTCCTCCTCACAGCTGAGGCTGAGTCAGTGACAGCCAGCAGCTTGGGGTGGAGAAGGTTGGGGGCCCGGCTCCGGTAGCGTAAGAGGAAGCGGGGCCCAGCGACGGTGGAGGAGGCATGGCCCGTCGGCGGCCGATGAGGAATGCGGGGCTTGGAGGTGGAGAAAGCTGACAGCGATTGGGGCTGACAGGTAAGAGGTGTGCAGGGGTGTGACCAGCCCACTGGAAACCCTGCAGAGCCCACCATAGAGAGTCTATGGTGGGCTCTGCAGGGTCACTCGGTTGGGCTGTTTGGGATCTCAGTGGGGCTCTGCAAGGGGCGTAACTAGAAATCACAGGGCCCCATACAAACTTTTGCTATGAAGCCCTGTGATTTCTAGCTACGCCCCTGCTTTATTAGTAGTTAATATCTACATATATTAATAACCGGATGGAGTTTAGAGAAGACTTTTCTGTTTACCAGTTTAACCTCTTAAGCTCCTTCAGAATCCTGACAGCCATTACAAAAGTGAGAATTTTCTCTGTGAGAAAATGATCACTCTTGTGACACCTATCAGGCACTAGTTTAGTGACTAATTACTGTACAGTCATATATGGATTAGATAGTAGATTGGTAAGAACCTAGAAGATGTATGGGATAAGGAAGCGCACCCACACCAGAAGCCAAGCAGGTTGGTGGTACACGTCATGAACCATGATGAACTGTGGCATTTATGTATGACAAAGGGTGTTATGATACATGACCCACCAAAGTTTGAAAATCAACTATATACCCAAAAACTAAAAAAAAAAAACTTTTTACTATATAAGTATTTGAGGTTTACCTAGGTAAATATTGAGGTTTCAATCTGCACATTTTTCAGACTCAAACTGCCTCTAAATTTACCTGTGATTTTTCCACAGAGGCATTGTGCTTGTCACACATAGGGCTGATTTCCATTCCTCGCTCCCTCTCTCGATCTCCCTGCCGGAAGAATTCCTCCATTATCCGGTCTGTCCAATGTCGGTAGAGCTGCAAAGGTTTTGTTGGATTGCTGAGATCTGCACAATGTACCATGTTCTGCAGAACCTAAAATAGAAATGAAAACACCATCACCCGCTGTGATATTAAACAGAAGGCACAAGGCTTCTTTTTCATTTACACTTTGCTTAGCTGTGAAGTGCAGTCTGGAAGAGTCATGTTGTGTGGGATTTAGTCATAACTGGATAAATCAGGAAACAGTCCTCTATTATCCCAAATGTGAAAGAAAGAAGGAGGCTGCTGGTAATCCTTATGTACTAATGCTCTCAGATGGAAAATAAGCACATCATTGTAAAATCACACTCGATAGTATCATATTATTTTGTATTATATCTTATTTTATATTATCCAATCAGGTTACTTAGAAGGAAAAGCTACATGATCATATCAGGTCAGGAAAAAATAAGTCATTATGGCTTTCCAGTATACAAGAACAGCAATGTCTGAAATAAGTCTAATGTTCTCTTTTTAACTACAGTAACCCCATCCCATGCAACTCTCTAGCATGCATTTTCCAATGGATCCAAAAGGAGATGCCAGATTCCCACAGCAGATCTTAATGTGTAAATCCTTGATCATTACAGGTCACTTTCACATTATTTCCAGGCTTGCCTGACTCAAACTGAATGATCCTTTTTTATTATAGTAATGCAGACAAGTTGCATATACAGCAATACATTTGGTGCCCTTTTACGTTTTGCACTGATAAGTGCAAGAGTTAAAACATCCTGTGCTGCAAGCACAAAGAGGAGTCTGACCACGGTTCTCTCACACAAAGCCATGGTCTGGCTCTCTAGTGATCTGCCCCCTTCCCCTCCCCTCCCCTCCCAATCCCTCCTCTAATCAACAGTGCTCTTGCTCCATGTGCAGCACCGTGAATTGGAATGAAGTCTGGGGGTCACATCAAACGGCCGCTTTGTGAAAGAGAGCAGTGGTCAGGGGGACTCTCTGCAGCACTTAACAGCATGTCTGCAGTACAGAAATAAATAAAGGAGGGTTCCAATGGGCTTTAAGCAATGAATATTCCAGTTACCTGTATTCTGTCCGAATAGTTGTCGAGAAGGAGAACCCCCGAACTTGTGACTTTCTTCGTTTCAACCATTGTTTTCAAATCAGCCAGTAGATTCATATGTTTTGACATATCTGTTGCAAGCACCTTGTAAAAGAAAAGAAATGAGAAATGTCTGATCAGGGACTAAAACCATTGCAATGATGCAACAATGAACTATTGCAAAGGTTGGTGTTTTAGAGCATCTCTAGCCAAAATGTTCTTTTAGATTTAGATGAGGTAGGGAGTGGTTACCCTTGTATTTGTCCAATTGGGGATACTTTTCTTCAGTTCCTGTCCTGAAGGCACAACAGAAAGGGAAAGGAAGTCTCTTTGATATGAGGGACAAAACCCTATTAGACAGTTGTCACCAAACAATCTTGGCTAAAAAACAAAATGAAAAGTTTTGGGTGGACATTTACCCTAAACATCAAGAGGTTTAAAAGATGATTATGTAAATCCATGGAAAGGTTTTTGTACACAAGAACATGTGGTGTATAATGCAGGTTACAGTAATCAGAGACTGGGAACCTCGTTGTGACCTCGTTGTGACCTAGGGACAATATTTTTTGTTGGTGCCCCAAGTGAAATGCCGAAATTAGGCCCACCGACCCGAGGATTCATACCGCTTGTCTGGTGCAGGGTTTGTGCAGCTGACAGCATTGTGCCTGCACTGAGGAATAATGAATACGGCCAGGCAGGAGGAATGGCAAAGAATGCAAACGCTGTAATAAGCGGAAACAACATGACACCAGGAATCATCTGACAAATGACAAGTAGGTCAGGCAGAGAGCTGCGAGTCTAACGCCGGGAATAAGAGCAGGAAGAGTTTACAAAATTGTCAATGACTCTCTTCCAGCTGACAGCAGTCTCATTCATCCCATTGTTGTCTGATATAGTCCAGATTCATCTTTTCTAACCATCATGTCTAGTATATTTCATGTCCATTCTTCATTTTCTCATATTTATAGATGAACCCAAGGCAGACAGCTAATGTAGTCCTAATATTAGGACTACATTTTCACTAGGTGTGAATGTGCGATTTGGTATTCCTGTTGCAGTAATCCCCAATCTCCTGTTTAAATGCGGCCAATGTCCCCCATTAAAGTTAATCAAAATGTAGATTAAGAATATTATAAGGAGTTTAAATGAAAAAAGGTCTAAGGTGTTTATCTGAACAGCATATATGTGGAATTTAGAAATCTGTACTTGGTCATGGTGGCAGAAGAGCAGGCCATCTTAGCATGAAGATCTTTGCCCGGATATATAAAGGTGATAGCAGTTTGGGGTAGATTTACTCTTTAATGGTTGTTCATTTAAGCTGTGGTTTTGTACCTAACCTCTGGGTTTCATAGGTTATAATATGAAAAACCAGCACTTTATCAAGCGGTCTTCCTCAGCACTGTTAAGTACTACAGAAGTACGATTGTAATGCTGCTACACAAGACAAAAATACTCCAATGCTACCCAGACCAGACAGAAGGCAGGAGCAGGAGTAAAAATCATCACTCCATGCATCTCATTTTTATGTATTTACAATGACAGGTATTCTTTAAATAACACAAACATCTGATACATCTACCCAAGTGGCACCAAGGTTTAGAGCAGTACATTGGGTCAGTAAATACATTTTGACAAATACAAGCAATGTGAGATATATGACGGGGGCTTCTCAGCTGCCTCATGTTATTTCTATATACAAGGTGGATGAAAACAAGAAGAAATGTTCCTGTGAAGAATGCAGAAAATATACCGGCTATCACACCTTCTGCACGAGATGAGGAGTATTTTAGTCATCGCATAACAGTAAGACATCCTAAAATCACAGACTGCCAGTAACTGCAATACTAGTTGGATAAAAACTATGGACTTGTAAAAGGTCAGTCAGCCTAATAGGTGGGGCCTGGCAAGCCGAGTAAGCCATTGCTGATCTCACTGACATAATTCCCAGGTATGGTCCTGTCCACCTGGAAGTTTTGGGCGTTACTGTTCATTTTTACATGTTCCAACACCTGATGTTGTGTTCTTCATTATATAAAATATATATCAAAAAAATCAAACAGTGAAAGTGGGGACCACAGCAGGTGTGCAGACCTGGGAATTTGAACACACATATCTTATTGATAGAGTCCTCCCCTACAGCATCAACCAAATACTGAATCATAATTTGTGGCTAGGATATCAATTTTATAGTCCTGTGCAAGGCAGAGTATGTCCCCACACACAGATGCCATGAGGATGCCCACAGATTTCAAGAGAGGTCACTAAGCTTCTCTCACAAACGAAAAACTTATAGAGGCCGAGGTAGGGTATCTAGGGGTCCCATAAACAGTGACAACATAGGGGAGGCTTCCAGATCCCAAGGGAGGGTCTGATTTCCCACACACAGGATCCCTTTGAGTGATGCAATGAGATCCCTCTAGCACCAGGGAGCAGGATAAGCCTATAGACAACTCTGTCACTGGACTGAGGACTTGCCTCTATAAGTAGTAATGCAGAAACATAACTGCAGAAGGCTGTACATCAGAACTGGTGCCTGGACCAATTAACCAATATCCAATTGTAAGGATGCAGAGGGAGTTCATTTTTACAATAAGCCACTACTGAGAGTAATGCATAGGTTGGCACTGCTGGCCTTTTACTGCTCTAATGCTAGTTGTCTTAGTCAGGCTGATCTAATGGATCAATGCTTTTTTAGTCACTCTTAAGATTTGAAGCCAGGGACAGCCATGCAACTAGCATTCTCCTACAGAGGTCAGTGTTGGAAGCCCCAGTATTAATAATATGACAAATGTCCTTTAAATCAGGCTAGCCGCTGCTTACTCAGGCTCGAACAATCAAATCTTAAGCTTGCCAAACATCTATAGATTGTCTGCACATTTTATATGGTCAGATGGAAAAAGTGCAACAGATTCCTCCATTTACACTAAACTGTGTGGATGGAGGAATCTCCCACTGGGGCTAAGCTTCAGTATCTTGCTAGTTGGCCCCGTTGGCTCTCAAAACACCCGAACAATGTCTGCATCCAATCAGATTGTTCAGGTATTTTCAGAGCCAGAGGGGCCGACTAGCAAGATACTGAAGCTTGGCCCAGTGGGAGATTCCTCCATCCACACAGTTTAGCGTAGATGGAGGAATCTGTTGCACTTTTTCCATCTGACCATAGAAAGTCTGCAGATAATCTATAGGTGTATGGCCAGCTATGCATTAGTTGCAGGTTGCCAGAAACTTCAGGCATCCCCAAAAATGGTTCCTCACTGAAGTCTACTATATGTGATCCATAAAATGATCCCTGCTGTGAGCAACGCTGGTGTTTTGCAAATATGCCCCTGCATGTTTCAGTGTTTTGTGGACTTAGTAGTCTGGAATATATTGTAGCTAAAGTATCATTAATTTTTTACCACACAAAAAGGGAAAACCATGTACTACAGTGTGGTGTGGTGTGGTGGGCCTTACTACTGTATTGAAAGTATTTTCTATTTTGCCTTAAGGAACATGTAATCCCTCTCATCTGATCCACGCTCCTGGCTAGTTGAAAGGTAAAGGCCGCAATTCCAATAGCAGGATTTCATGTAATAAACAACTTAAATTGGTCCTCCCTGACCTATATTTGCTTGCTACATGGAGCTAGGAACTCATGATGCATAACACATTAAGAAGAAATCACTAGCCATTCTTATTTCTGAACATAGTACCAAGGGATTGTGCAGAATGTCTTCCCGACACACTTTTCTCCATCAACCTTGCTCATAGTACACACTCTCCTTTTTCAAAGTTTCTAAGTGAAACTCGTTTCAAAGTGTGTCATGATGGGACTTTTTTCCCTCCTATGTACCTTTGGGAATTCAGGAAAAAACAACCTTTCACGTCTTCAATTTTTCTACGCTGGTTTTCTTTTGCTATGCTATCCCTGTAAATACTTACAGTACTGAGGCACTTCTCAGGTAAGGTTTTAGAGTATTATAATTTATTTCCAGTTTGTGGGAAAAAAGTGGACCCTTGTCATACACAGGCATGCACCTGCCTGGAATGGTACCTGACCCCAGCGTACTACACTGTTCAACTCCACTAAAAGCCATAAAAACATCTGCCTCCAATGGAGACAAGTGGATGCAGAATGGCATAGGAGTAGCAGAGCAGTCTACAGTCTTATGCACTTTGTATTTGAATGTGGGGTAGAAAGGACACACTCCTCTTTGCAAAAGGAACCCATGGCATGCAGCTGCCTTACGTGTATACATTACACAGAAGAATTATGGGCATATTTGCTTTGTTTGAATCCCACATTATGGTATAAACCATAATTCCCCTTTTCCAGTAATACATTTAAGCATTGTCTATGGAAGAGCAAGACCAAACAGAACATAAAGCTACTGCTGGATAAGAGAGTTTACTTACTATGTCAATGACCATTTTCCGTAATGATTGTCTCTGCTTTTTGGTCAAGTTCTGGAAAATGTCACAGTTCTCTTCTTGTAGCAGCTTGAAACCCACAGCTAAATGGTGGTTCTCCAGAACAGATGAGTCATTGTACATCAAGGCTAATTCTGAGTCTGGAACAAAATCAAAGAACATTTTAGCAGACGCAACACAAGGGATTGAAAGGGGGAAACAAAATGTCAAAAGCATGTCTGTGTTAATTATAGGATATGATTGCCTGATTGCTTCAATTGCAATGAAGCAGCATGAATCCATACAAATAAGGACAGGTCTGACGTGATAAATGATAGCTGCAGTGTCATGTGGAGCACGCACTTATTACCCGACAGAAATCACGGAGTTGGATCTTTAATCATACTGGTCGAGGCATGCCGCAAGCCTCAGCCTATCGCACCTGTTTTATGACCTGCACTACTAGAAACACTCAGCGTGATATGAAGGACATGAAGGTCTGCAGCATCTAAACATCATCAAGGCCCATCTAACTAATGGAATGCAGAACTGCAAATGCTCTGATTCGAGGGACAAGTTGTTATGGTCTGCTCTTTTTGTCCCTGCCTCTGGTTTTCAGTACTAAGTAAGTGTCACGCAGTCGCTTTTCTCGTACTCTATTCAATCCTAATCTTCTATTTAAAGTAGTATTACGCTCAATAACTTTCTTCAATAAAGAATCCAGTAAAAGTATTTCTTTGAATTTAAAACTGATTCCAATTGAAATGATTCCAAACAGCTGGCTCCAACTCTCTCAGCTCGACTTTCCTGAACTTCCTGTCAGTAGATCACAACGGACAGCACAGTCTTGACCAGCCGTCCATTTACTAGCTTGGAGAAGGAGGAGAGATGAAGGAGGAAAAGGAAGTAGAGAGCAGGGGAGTGGCTTGTCCTGCTGTGTCTGTGTGTTTGTGGTTATCAGCACACACAAGGGTGGCCTTATAGAACCCTGCAAGGTAAAGGAGCCAACCTAAAACGGGATATCAGGGCCAGCGCTCAGGGGACCAGCTGATTCTGCAGAAAACGAAAACTTTTAAACATCAAGGAGTGGCATCCATTGTAAGTAATGTAATCAGCAGTGGAATTAGTTAAAAACATTGTGTTTTAAAATATTAAGTTAAAGTAGATGTAAACCCCAACAAAGTCATCGATTCTGCTAAAACACTGAAAGTGGAATTTATCAAAACTGGAGCAGTTGCCCATAGTAACCAATCAGCTTCTCTCCTTCATTTTAAAATCTGAACTGAAAAAAGCTGATTTGTTACTATGGGCAACTGCTCCAGATTCTGTCTGCTCCAGTTTCGATACATTCCTCTATGAGGACATAAATAATTGCCATGTTTTTCAAAAGTTTATCCTTTACTTCATCCTTTGTTTCATCTCAGTGTTGCTGATCTCCTCCTTGCAGCCAAGGAGATTGTGATTACATCTACTTTAAGGTACACCCCATTTAAACATGAACATACTGCAATAAAATCACTTGGATACAACCCAACACTCATGTTCTAAGTTTCATTCTGACAATCATCTTTTGTCAGTGGTTACCATGTTCAGAAAAACTGAAATTTTCATAAAGTATCACTTAAAATGCAGGTTCCTGGGTTCTGAGCACTACCCCTATAGTTCTGAGAGAGAGTGCACAGCATAGATTTATGTGGCAATAGGCTTCAATCCCACCCAGAAGCAATTCAAAGCCTGCAGAATAGGGATGAGCCCAGGTTCAGACCACCAAACCAGGTTTGAACCCAAGCTCTTCTAAACCTGGAAGCTACATTGGGCATGCACCCAATTAACTGCAGCCGGGGAATTGCCCCCACAGCTGCACATAAACAAAGGAGCGGGGTGCTTGTGCTGACATAATTGACCACATGACCATATTAGGTTGATTTCATGGAACAAATATAGCCATCTACCCATACAAGGTCAATGATGTCACAGCATCCCACCCCTTTGTTTACATACTGCTGATTGGGCGGCAGCAGGAAGAGCTTTCTTCTGTGTTCAGAGAAGCTCACATTCCTTCCGAACCTAAGCCCATCCCTACTGGAGAATCGGTCTGCAATGGTTGATATAGAACTCATATTAACAATACACCTTTGTAGAGCTTTCAGAACAGAATTCTCAGGATGACCAATTAATATTTTATTTCATGGCATTGCTTTTTCCTTACAATAATAATAATTCTAAAATATTAATGATAAAAAAATCATAGCTGTTCATCAATTGTTATATTTATTATTATATTGTTATAGAACAAGCACTGCAAATCATATTTTTGGGGCTTTTTTTTTTTTTTATTTGCTGCAGACATCTGCCTAAATATCATAACATTAAGCTTATCACTGACGCAACCCAGAAGCACAATTACTTATAGTAGTGGTCGCCAAGCCCATGGCTAGGAGAGGGCTTGAAGAGGTTAAATCGATGAATAGTCTATGTAACAGCACAGGCCGCCCCTCTCCTATATTCTCCACTCATTTGCAAAGTATGAGTCACCACATTGATTTTTGCACTCCAGGGTATCCCTCTGGTTACCAGGCACACAGCCGAACTCCAAGAATTATATTTAGGCACCGGGAACACAAAATGTTGAGAATTCCACACAAAAAAACCCTGGACATTGAACACAGGACTGATGGGGGTTCCAGAGATAGGTAGGATATGCAAACTGGAGCAACTGTGAGACTACAAGTGCCAGGTAGACAGCAGAACTGTATGCAGGGCCTTGTAGTTCCTCCATGACGACATTTCCTCTTTTGCCTTGGGTAGCTTACCAAACAACATTAGAACCATCCTTTGCTCTGTCTCTTCCCTGTCATGTTTGTGTAATAAATGGGAGGCAAATTGCAGGAAAGTGCAGATCACAATAATCTGTATATTCCGAGCCAACCATAAACACATGTCACACAAATGGGAAGAGAGTCCACTTTGATCACTTGTTTTCATTGCCAAATAAATCAGGAAATAACAGCAGCTGCAATGTGATTCATATGACATACTGTACATCTTCAAACACACTGGCACTGAGAAAGGCCATTTCATTAAGGCCTAATAGTGAATTATAACTCTTTATTTTACATTGTACTGAATGTATTACTGGTACACTCCCAAAGTTCTATATTTGTTCATTTAGAATTGTATTACTTCCACATATAAACACAAAACAAGGGTGCATTATCTGCTTGTTAAATCCCTATAGTTGCTGATATCCTCATCCTTTAAAAGGCAATGAAACTGAGCCTTTAAAAAAAATGAAACGAGAAGGACGTTTTAAAGCATGGTATCAGCGTGGAAGGGTTAAATCATCTGTCAGGGTTTTATTGCTCGTGACGGGATGGCCAGTAATCCAAAATGAAAAACATGTGAACTCTACTGAGGTCATAGATGCAAAAGTAGAAAAAACAGACATCACTCCACTGACATTTCGGGAACACATAGGTCCCTTTTCTCAAGATGACAGACAAATGTTCATATGTCTGTCACCTTGAGAAAAAGGACCTGTGTGTCTTCCATGTTTAAAAAAGCATCACCTGTGGCCTTTCTGATGGGTACAAAATCTGGAATAAAAACCTAGTTGTGCAAGGAGGAAAGCTTGAGAAGCAGAACATGAAATTCATCATTCATTTGTTAATAATCTTTTATCATAAAAAGCCAACAATGCTGGTTAAGCAGCGAGCAGGTTTATCCAGCATTTGTAGCTCCGGGATGCCTCTAGTTGTATCAGTCTAGTACAAGCTTTATTCTTTGTACCCACTAGATATGTTGGACTTTTAGGATACAAGAGTCTAAATAAAATTAAATATGGACATCATACATTCTGGTTTTGGCACTTTACCCCTTGCTCACCCTCTCCCTACTTGAGTAAAGTGTGACCCCCTGGGCGAGCTGCTATAAGCTGGCTATACTCTTGTAGATTTTCATACGAAAGATCTCTCTCTGCCAACTAATAATGCCATTAGACACTTGACAAGTGTCGATCGAAATTTTCTTTCAATTTTGGAATAAATTGAGTTTCCGAACAAAAACCAGATTCACGGTTAGTGAATTCACTGTTCAATTACGTTCGGCAAAAAAAAAATTCTATCCTTCTAATTTTTTCATCACTATGATCTAAATAGATCGTCGATTTGACCCCATCAACTAAAAGAAAGTTCTTTCACATAAAAGTTCTTTAAAAAAATCTAAGCAGTGTATGGCCTGCTTAAAGGATAATTAAACCCTCAGCTTTTTTTGCATAGATCTTCTGCTTGCAAGCAGTAGATCTATGCAAAAAGTGAAAAAAAAACACGCTTTTAAAAGGGTTAATACTTACCCCGTGTCTTCCCCGCGCACTCCCGTCCGAAAATGTGAAAACTCTCGGGCGGCCGCAAAGCATCTTGGGGCGGGCGCATGCGCAGATCACATTTTCTGCCGGGACGCGAGGAGAGACACAAGGTAAGTCTATGGACGGCGTGCACCCGCATGCAGACACCGTGGGACAGGAAGTGCCAGGAAGCTGCGAGGAGTCCCGCCGCAACACTGGAGGGACAGATGAAAACATCAGGAAAGAAGAGGAAGATCGGATTAAGAGACGTCATTAAAAGGTAAGTGCTAACATTAACATTGGGGGGAAAAACATTTTTGCCTTTAATGTCACTGCTTAAAACCGGCCTGAAAATAGCCACTGCTATAAGAAATCCAGCACCCAACACCTTACTCCTACTTTCTGCAATAAAAACCTGACACTTCGGACTCTTCCCCACTCTACAAATCTTAAACAAAAAAAAAAGTCAGGTGAGTACACAATAGGTTAAGGTGGCCAGCAGCTGGGAGGCTATGCTGGAGCTTGTAGTTCTTCAGCTGGAGATTAGGCTTTCCCCATTCTGGTAAAAAAACAAAACAACTACATATATATACATATCTTTACCAAATATGGAACTAATTATATCATTCTTTCAAGAAACGTATATTCTTCTAGTGACACGCCAGGCAATGTATATTTGTGTAAACGTACTTGTGTTGATAAGAAATTGATTGGAGACGCCAGGATGATCAACATCATGTATTGCACTTGCAAAGATTGCAGCGAGAATTTCCAGGTCTGTGAAAACAGCCTAAAAATAAAAATAGTAAAATTCCAGCATGTTAATATCACAGACGTGGCAGTGGTATTCTATGAAAGCATAATAACAGTGGAGAGTCCCCCCATAGTTCTCATATACTCTGAAAGCCTCAGTCTGTACTCATAGCTCCCTATTCAGGCTCAGTTCAGCAGCTTTTACTAGAACCCACTCAATGCCTCTAAAGGGCTTTATTTAAGAGATTTAGAAAATTACAGCAGGTGCAGTTTTAAATGGAAAGGTCTTTCCATAACATTAAAATTACAGAATGGCTATTGTAGCAATTAAAAACAGTATGCTATATTCTTTTTTTTACGATGTCTTAAATTTTTTTACGGGAGTTTTAAAGTAAACCTGTAAAGTAAGCTCAAAAACTGAGGGCTTGCTTTAAAGTTTATTTACCGTTTCTTAAAGGAGAGCTATGGTGCAACCTTTTTTGCCCATAGTTCTCTTCAGGGTCATGGGAGGATATATACTGTGTCCTCCGGTGACCCAAAACTCAGTATATAGCGCGCAATATGCTAAAGCGCAGGTCCGTTCGACAGCCGAGATGGGTCCCGACAATACTGTACAGAACTCCCTTGCTAGCTGATTGACAGCCAGCTCCGCCTCTCTAGAGGCAGAGCCAGCTGTGCATGCCCCTTCCCCCATCTGTTCCTCCAGTCAATGCTGGAGAAACAGAGGGGTGGCAATTCCTGCAGGGAGTGGTGACTGACAGTCACAGCTCTCTGCAGGGAGAGGATCGGGAAGTGAACGATCGGCGGTGTGTGTTCGCTGACTTCCCGATCAATAGAGCCGACTTGCGACAGCTTCATTCTGGCTGGTCGACTTGAATTATGCGGATGAGTGTTTTTCACTCACCCCATCATTCTCCTTTGAGAATATAAAAACACTTGCGTATCCATGGCCTGGCCTCAGGTTCACTTTGAGGCACCTACAGGACAACTCTGAGGACAGCAGAGTAAAACAGGCCACAAAAAATGACTATATTTTACTTATTTTTTGCAGTTTCTGTCCTTCTTTGAGCTGAAGCAGGACAAGATGCAAGAGCTGCTGAAAAGATTAATGGAACTCCCAAGAGGGAAAGCAATAGCAGCCAGATCATATTTTTCTGAAAAACCTCTATTTACCCACAATTGAATGTTTGGAATCAGAGCACATCAATGGTTATTTATCAAAGTTGATGAAATTAGAGCTGTGTTTACTGCACAGAAAATTATCAGATTTTTCTCGAAGGGTCAATACATTTTTTTTCTACAGAAATTGAGAATAAAGTCCTACTGGTAGCTATGCAATAGTGGCCAGGATGACTACTGAGCAGTTCATACCTCCAAAGCTGGCGTGGAAAGCAGCACATGAGTAGACTGAGCAACATCCGCTGCATGTATGTTATTATGGTAAGCCACATCGGCGTGATAATGATCTTCTAGAGTCATTAAGTATGTTACTAAAGTGTCTGTCGGTATTTTAAATGTCTTCAACAGATCCCGTTCCTGCAGAGAGAATACAGAAAGAAAGCATTGATATACGGAGAGGTAAGCAAGCAAGAGTCGGCCCAGAAAAACAATGTATTTATATACCTGAAATATTGTGTGCATGACGACTGTGAGAGGTCGGTTTCCGGAATAATCAGTTACTTTAAAAACATTAAGGCCCCATTTGTTCACATCTTCAAGTTCCTGGTGGAGAGTAAAAGGAGGAAATTAGAGAGAACAGTTAAAAGCAGTCACATGGAGCCGTCGTATGGAAAGTTTGGAATGGCCGTAAGACTGAAGCCTTTATTCCCCAGCTAGAGGCTTTGTACATGCAGTATGGAACATTCTGTCAGAGCCATCCTAGATGATCATTCAAAGAACAAATGGTGTGTAGGAGGATGCCATTAATTAATTACCACAGTGCATGAAAAAAAAATATTAGGATTGCCAAAAATATTAGAAATCTGAATAAAACTAGCTACCAGGATAGACAGCAGAGAACATTTAAAACTGGCCCTGAATTGTGAGCAGGCTATGGTGGTCTGTATAATCTGTGATTATATACAAAAGGAGAAAATCTACTGCGCATGGACTACAAATGACTAAAAAGCAAAAATAATAATATTGATAATAATAATATCTATATAAATATCTATATAGATATTAATATCTATATAGATATCTATATAGATATATATCAAAGCCATGTCCCTAAAATACCATTGTTAAAAAATGTATATATAAAATTCCATGGTAATGTTAATCCCCCTGAAAAACCCAACAATCAAAAAAAAACCCCTAAAAAAAAATTAAAATTAAAAGCTGTATCCCTTTAAAAGACCATTTATTCTACATAGTAAGGTATATAAGGAGACAGCATCCTCTCTTTGCATGTTCAATATATAAATTCTATCACAGTGATATATCAGACCATATGGATCCTAGTTGTTATTGAGTCGACATCTTATGATATAATAGTCAAACATCAGTGCAGACCATTTCATGGAATCCACCTATTATTTGTGGTACTTTGTTTACAAGTAAATGTGCACATGTATAATCGTGAATTCTATATACATTTGGTTGGATTCCGATGTAGGAATGCTTTCTTGGATTATGGGATGCATAGTGGATTCACGGTTTATTTTTAGAGGGAGTTAAATGGTCTCTTAGAGGGATACAGCTTTGAAGTTTTTCTGTTTTTGGCTGTTGTAGTCCAGAATCATTATATTTTCTCCTTTTTTTATATTGCGTGTTAGTTATACTGGTGACTCCAGTCTTATTATTATTATTATTATTATTATTCTTGTGTTTTGGCCAGATTAAAAGGCTTTAATCAGTGATGATATATGTAATGAACTAAGAATATAGACATACTAGATGATTAAAAAGGCAAGCTTTTTAATAGTGTGTGTTTCCGTCTCTGTAATGTGTATGTAAACCTAAAGTCTATTTTTCAGTGTGTTTGGCATCATGCCTCAATTTTTGGGAATCTTTTCAAAAACTTAACCTGGAGATCCTGCCAGAAGGAGCAGTTCTTGTTGCAGGCTGACAATGCTACTGATATTTGAGAGGCAGTGGCTTGTCAGCATGCAACAGCAAATAATTTCAAGAGATTCACCCAATTTTTGTTTTTGCCGTGGGAGCTCCTTCATTGGGCTACCTATCAGATCTGTACATGCCTCCTGCAGAACTGAAAGACAGCCCAATGGCCAAGTGAAGGAGCATGCACAAAATGCTGATAAATGCTGCTACTTATTAGTAGACAGTATCTTGCCAACTGTCAGCCTTCAAAGGAAGTGCAGTTCCTGGCAGGATCTCCATGTAAAAGCCAGGTAAAGTCATTCTTAGAATGAATGGAATCCCCTGTATTTCTCTCACTACAGGTTTCTTTAATGCATTCTTGACAATAAGGTTTTTTGGCAGAGGGTGGAGACATCACTGTTTATTGCCCAAGGAGCATCATACATGAAGAGACGCCACAGTCTTCTAAAGTGTCCACATGTGTCATGTGGTTCTGTACATCTCTTATGCACCAGTCAAAGTCAAGTGAAGACTATGTATTACCCATTGAGCCTCTTTTTACAGGTTCTATAAAAGTTTTAAAAAATGACATATGTGTGTTTTGATCTTGATACATTGGTGGTTCATGGACCACTGGCAATCTCTGTCTATACATGTTCTGTTATGCTAATTTTTCCCTTTGTGTGTATAAGGAGCAGGCATACATTTTGGGGGCACAAACCAACTATCTTACCTTGGCTAGAGAATCTTCATTTTCACTTTTGACTCCAAACCTGGGAATACTTGAGTTTGTGAGACTAGAGCTGTGCATTAGTTTCTTCACACCACTAATCTGAGACATAGGTCTCTTCTTCTTTTCCTTTTCTTTTTCTTTTTGGGCCAGTGTTGGCATCTCCACTTCATGTTGTTTATCTAAATTGTGAAAGGTAATTATAAGTAATGTTGTACACTAGATTTTCATTGTGGTAAATGTCACAATAAGCATTACCACACATGCCACCCAACGCAGTAATTCCAAACTCCAGTGGTAAAATAAATGCATACGTGCACAACTGAAGCAAAGCTCTTCCTGAAGACTGGGCTTTCCATTTTTAAACTAGAATCACCCTAGCGCTCAATTAAAGTGCAACTGAAGCCAAACATTTTTTTTTTTAAAGTTTTGTACAGAGTGGAAAGGGATTAGAATACCTGTCAGAGTTTTCCTGCTGTCTGTTAGAGAGATTGCCACGCTCTATTTGTTCTGATGACCGTTATCTTTGAAACGGTGGTCACCAGAACAGGAGTAGATCAGACATCTTCCAAAAGGTCACAAGTCTTGGTGACCCTGCTGACCACCAGGGATTTCCTCTCACTTCCTCTAGTGGCCATCAGACAGGAAGTGAAGGGAAATCTCCCCAATGGGACACCGATGAAAAAAAGCTGGCAGGCTTATAACCTTCCCTTAATTTCTCCAAAAACGACTAAGTAGGGATATCTTTATCTTTCATTTTATTCTCTGTTGCTGATGAAGAAGCCCACATACAATAAAGTGGACACAATCAATACTTCACAACCCTGAGCAGGACAAGTTATAAACATTATATGACTTTTTTAATAATATACCATTGGGCCTGTGTTGACAGACTTTGGGCTTGTGCTGATGGCTTGTTTGACATCAGTTTGGACACTTCTGAGATCATTAAGAATTTACTGAAAGGTGCATTTGACCTGCTTCAAACAGGTTTTGCATTCTCAAAGGCTTGTATAAGAATGCAAAACCTGTTTAAAGCAAACACAAGTCCTTCAACCCAAGCGTCTATATCATGTATTTAAGGTATTAAAGAAGAACTCCTGAAAAACGTTTTCTTAACCCTTGCAATGGTGCTACCCCTGCACTGCAAGGGTTAAGTGCTCATTTTTGTTTAGGTGCTAAAATAACAAAGTTATACTCACATGAAGTTCTGAGTCGGCCAGCCTGTCTTATCCTATGCTGCAGCATTGGAATTTTCCTCAGTGTCCTAACATCTATACACGGGTATAGGTGTGATGATTTGCAGGATTTTAGACCGCTGCAGAGAAGGGGGAGAGAGTCTCCAGGGACCAGTCTAAGAACAAGTCAGCTCAGAGCGCCAGGAGAGTATAATTATTATTTTTTGAACCTAGACAAAATGAGCAGTTTAGCCTTGTGGTGCGGGGGGGTGGGGGGGGGGGTTAATATTGGGTAAGGGGTAATAAAAATTGTTTCTGGAGTTTTTAAAAAAAAATGTGACTATTAAAAAAGAACATCAAGCATGCAGACCGGCAGTACAAAGTGAACCGATCCAGGCTTACAATTTAATTTACAAACTTCCCTGATTGAAAGAATACTTCCAATTGGCTACTACGAGTTACTGTGCTTTGCCTTACTGAGTACCTTTGTTCCTATGTTCAGGTGTGTACAAATTTAAGCTTATTCAGAATTGAGGAATTCAAAGCAATACTGCTATGCCCAATTCAGTAATTCCCACCAAACAATCAGAAATGATTATAATATGACTACAGAGAGATGAAACGGATCAGGGATTAAGCTTTGCACATTATCTCCACTTTTGCACTTTCTGAATTGCATAAACACAGCGTCTAATAATCTTTTAGTTTTGTATTATTATAATCCATTATACAGCATATTGAAGTGTAAATCATGCCATTATTGAGCAAAGGCCTCGGCTCATATATATACGTGGCTTCAATAATTGGGCTCCATCATTGTGAGCATGTGCAAGCTTTGATATTTATGATTTCAGGCAGATCAACACAGTTTAGATAGATCAAGGAGGAAAGTCCTAAATGCAACTGTCAGGTCAAGCCAAGCAGAAGCACAAACATGTCCAAA